CTTGTTAATTAAATTCTGTGGTCCCTACTGTGCCTAAATAATAGAAAATAGTGAAAATTGTTATTTGGTGGGGGAAAAAACATGGAAACCGTCCCTTAGTGGGAGAAGGAAACCTAACAGGTTTTGAAAACGATATAAGGGCTGGACGTTTGAGATATGATTCTTACTGCGGTTTCTACTAGAATTTTGCCCACCCAAAATTCTCTATTTTCGGTTATTGTTTGGGTAACACAGTAGAAGAATGTGAAAATCTGCTGGTGTGTGGTATCAACTGAGGAACTGGAGAACGATATAGATTTGTTTTGTTTACGCTTCAAGAGGTAATGTTAAAATCTCCATACGTGCTAGTTGTTTAGATTACACGTGAATAAGATTCTGTTATTGCTTCTGCTGTGGTATATACTCCAACAAATGTTGCATCTCTTTTCATAATTGTTTTTCTTTATCCCAATTTTGCTTCGGATGCTGTGAAAATTCGTCAATTTACAGTCCCACAGTAAAAGCTGTCATTCCTTTCAAGTTTCACTAACCAAATAAAGGCATCCCCTGAACTGAATTGAAGTTTCAATCTTTCAATTACAAAGTAGAAAAAGATACTTTGTCTATAGTAATTGCATTTTTTGACTGCTGGCTATGAAAGTCCGTCCAGTGAAGCCTCACTTTTTCAAACCTATTCTGCCAGGTTTCAAGCACGCTTTGGTAAGTCAAAACTAACCGTGTTTTAGTAAATATTTCATCTTTCTTATATATTTATGTATGATATGAATTTATCCCAGAAAACAAAAACACTAAAATTCAAAAACCATAGTCCATACAAACAACAACAACTGTACTGTGTATCCTGCGAGAGGTTGTTTCCAATATACCATCGGCATACTTTCCTCCAAGAACTTCCCACCTTGCTCTTGGGGCGACTCGAACTCACAACCTCTTGCTTGGAAGTGGAGTATGCTTACCATTAGACCAACCCACCTTGTCAAAAACCATAGTCCATATGAACATGAAAATGGTCAAATTTGCCCATCAACTATGCAAAAATGTCTAAATATGGCCTCCATTAAAGTTGGGGACAATCATGCTTTAGCTCACTGATTAGCAGGGCTTGGTGTCAGGTGTCCAAATTTTAATTTTAGGTTAAAGGTCAAATTTGCCTCTGAATTATTCAAAGAGGACTAGATATGGCATTCGGGCAACCGTAGAAGTTACTGGTAGCAGTGTTGTCAAAGGCGTGCTTAAGCCTTGAAGCGAGGCGTAAAACATGTTAAGCGTTTCGCCTCGCTTAGCGGGCACTTCAGTGTCATCATGTAAGAAGAGCTTAATCCTGAGGAAGCAACACTAAGGAATTGATATTTTACTTTTATTGTAAATATTATTTAATTTTTTTGTCCATATATTTGTTATTCATGCTTATAATTATTTGTTTTGGGCTACGCATACATATTTGTAATTTTTCTCCATTTATGCCTTTCTTAATTGAAAGCCACGTTTTATTTGCGCCTAAAGCCCCAGCGTACCTTAGAGCTTGTTTGCACTTTTCGTCTTTGATAACAATGATTGATAGTGGTGGTTCTCGGCTAAAATGTATCTGAAAATTCACTGGGTTGGGTCTGAATATTTTGTATCGAAAAGGTACTTGACAGAAGAGCTCTGACGAGCAGCACATCCCAAGGTCCACCACTAGGGTGGTGTACGATATTTTTAGCACATTAACCATATCTTGCAATCAATATATTACCCTCACATTATCTTGTTCGTCAATTTCGTACGAAGGGTATGATGGAGAAGCCCTTATACCGTCTTCCTCAATTCCATCAAATAGAGCAGCTTTCTTGCCACGTTCCCTTCGAGAATTCGCATCTATCAAAAAAGCATGATTGGCTGAAACTATTAACAGAGGGCATATATCTAGACTATTTCGCATAGTTCAGGGCGCAAGCTTGAATCTTTTCTCATTATTACATTTTGGAGACATGGCACCAAACCGTGCTAATCAGTTCAATTAGTCAGTAAGGACAAATATAACCCATTTTTGTAATGGCAAGGGCATATGATTCCCTCCAACTATTAATTGAGGGCAGACATAGACCATTTCACATAATTTAGGGGAAAATTTGACCCTTTGCCCTTTCTTAATTGTTGTTTATCTGGGTATAAAAATAGTTTTTTTTTCACGTACTAAATAAAACAACTTGAATCAACTCTAAATTTGTGTTGTACTGCAGAAAATTCCTAAAGGTTTTCTGAAGTATCTAAAGGGACATGAGCATGAACATGCAGTACTGAGAAGGGCGGATAAATACTGGCTGGTGAAGGTGAACGCCTATCGATTCAAAGCGGGTTGGGCAGAATTTGCGAAAGAGAATGATTTGCAGTTGGGAGATATATTGGTGTTCAGATATGAAGGAAACATGGAGTTTGAGGTAATGATCTTTGATTCAAGTCACTGTAACAGAGAATATGCGGAGTATTTGCAAGAAGAAGAAGCAGCAGCAACACATACTTTTGGAGAGGCTTCCAAGAATTTTGAATTTGAAGGTGAAGTTATTTAGGTTCTCAACTTTCTTTTTTCAGATTTTACGTTTCTGTTATTTATGGAAGTTATATTCCTGATTATTTATTTATTGTGTACTGATGCATAAACAGTATAATGCTTGATGCTCATTTAATACTCCCTGTCTCATTTTAATTGTGAGGTTACTAAAAATGTTTGACCGATAATACTTATCAATTTATAAAATCAAGATAGAATTGATCAATTTTCTCCATTTTGCCCATAATATTAATTGTCTTGAAAGTAAGCAATACTAATAGAGTGCACATTTATTGCATAGTGATAAGGATAAATTAGTCACAAAAATACTTCTTATTTATGATTCCTTAAGGGGCATGCAAAATGGAAATATGACAACCGATTAATATGGGACAGAGGGAGTAGTAAGAAAAAGTAGAATAGAAAGAGAAACTAAAGCGTCCTTTAATCTTAATACAAGAAAATACGGATGCGATGTAATTTATTTTGTTTAAGAAATTAGCCGAAATGTGTGGTAGATAGTTAAATGTTGTTCCCTTTTCTAAATGGAATTTGTCATATTTAATTTCTTGAAGATACAAACAACTATGCCTCAATCCCAAGTGGGGATCAACTATATGAATCCTCTCCATCCATGTCGTGCTATTTAATCCATTCAAGAAATACCGACGATGTAATAGAAATACCAAGCCCCGGCATCAAGTTGTCAGACGAGGATTCTTCACATGCGGAAGCTGCTAGTGACAAGCATGTTGGTCATTCTCATTTTGTATGCACTATTAAACCATATTGCCTAACATATGGCTACTTGGTAAGTCTTAGAACTCATTAATTTCACATAAACTCTTCAAGAATCTTAAGGCTAAAGGAAGCATGTGTACTGTTTTGCTTATTTTTATCCTTGTTTAAGTGAAAATCTGAAGAATATGAAATGTTTTAATGATGTGTTCAAATGGTAGTTGCTTATTTTTATCCTTGTTTAAGTGAAAATCTGAAGAATAGAAATGTTTTAATGATTTGTTCAAATGGTAATACACTTTGTCAGTACCTTCCTCAACAATTTGCAAATGGTCTCTCCAACAAGAAGGGCAATTTGATTATAAGAGATGAAAGACAAAGGTTATGGAATTTAAAGCTAAGTTCCGATTACAAAAAACGAGTCCGTATTGGAGATGGCTGGCGTAAATTCATTGCTGATAATCGGTTAAAGGAGGGAGATCGTATTGTGTTTGAAGTTGTAACTGATGAAGAGACATCTATATGGAAATTTCATGTTGTTACTAATGCAAAAACTCCAATGAGGAAGTTTCAGGGTAAGTTTTCTCATATCTATGTTATACTATTGATGAAGACGAGCCTCGGCTTAACTGGTACATAAAGTTGCTACCATGTGACCAGGAGGTCACGGGCTCGAGCCGTGGAAACAACCACTTGCAGAAATACCAAGCCCCGACAATGTAGTAGAAATACCAAGCCCCGGTATCAAGTCGTCAGACGAGGATTCCTCACATGCGGAAACTGCTACTGACAAGCATGTTGGTCATTCTCATTTTGTATGCACTATTAAACCATATTGCCTAACATATGGTTACTTGGTAAGTTTTAGAACTCACTAATTTCACCTAAACTCTTCAAGTATCTTCAGGCTAAAGGAAGTATGTGCACTATTTTGCTTATTTTTATCCTTGTTTAAGTGAAAATCCTAAGAATATGAAATGTTTTAATGATGTGTTCAAATGGTAATACACTATGTCAGTACCTTCCTCAACCATTTGCAAATGGTCTCTCCAACAAGGAGTGCGATTTGATTATAAGAGATGAAAGACAAAGGTTATGGAATTTAAAGCTAAGTTCTGATTGCAAAAATCGAGTCCGTATTGGAGATGGCTGGCGTAAATTCATTGTTGATAATCGATTAAAGAAGGGAGATCGTATTATGTTTGAAGTTGTTACTGATGAAGAGTCTATATGGAAATTTCATGCTGTTACTAATGCAGAAACTCCAATGAGGAAGTTTCAGGGTAAGTTTTCTCATATCATGTTATACTATTGATGAAGAGGAGCCTTGACGTAACTGGTACGTAAAGTTGCTGCCATGTGATCAGGAGGTCATGGGTTCGAGCCGTGGAAACAGCCACTTGCAGAAATGCAGGGGTAAGGCTGCGTACAACAGACTCTTGTGGTCTGACCCTTTCTCGGACCCCGCACATAGCGGGAGCTTAGTACACCGAGGTTCCTTTATGTTATACTGTTGATATGTTCTTTTGTTCATACTTTTGCCAAATATTTGATATGACTTTTTATGCAATTAGCAAATGCTACAGAAAAACCAGAACCCAACATCATGTCATCATACAAGGCTTTCCCCGATGTAGAAGCGGCCAAGGACATGCCTCTGTCTCACCCTGATCATTTCATTTCTACTGTCAAACCCCATCACATTTCAAAATGTAGGATGGTAAGCTTAAAACTAAATTCTATTTTCATTGTTACACTTAAGAAAATAAAAGGAAAATAAGATGACCTCTTAAATATGAACAATTTACGTGGTTATAAACTGTGTTTCAGCATGTTCCAAAACTATTTGCGAGAGAAAATGGCCTCAGCAACAGGCAATGTACGATAGTGATAAGAGATTATGAGCAAAGGTCATGGGAATTTAGGCTGTATTCCTCCTGTGCTGGCAGCACTTTCATTGGAGGGGAATGGCGTAAATTTTGCGCTGCTAATTTCTTAAAGGAAGGAGATTGCATAATGTTTGAGATATTTGCCAAGGGAGAGAAACCTATATTGAAATTTTATGGCAAGTTTCACATCTTAAAACCTTATGTTATACTTATTTCATCACTTTTACATCATTTATCTGCTTCTTTTACTTCAACTTAATGTTCTGTTTTTGGATTTATATTCATCTTCAGTTTCAGTTTTGACTTGTTTCAATTTTTAAAAACTAGATTTGAGAGCAAATGCATCACTTCAGCCCGAAGAATGGAAGCCTAATTTGGATGCTAAAAGAGTTTCCACTTAATGAATCTTGTTTAATACAGGACAACCTTAACAGAAGAGGTATGCCAATTGTTAACAGATGTTTTATGTGTCGGCAACATTCAGAGTTCAACCGACACCTTTTGCTACATTGCTCAAATGCCTCAGACATATGGTGCATGTATCTTTCTATCTTTGGTCTCAGTTGGGTAAAGCCACAAAGCATTAGAGAGGTCTATGAATGCTGGTCTGGTTGGAAAGTTGATAAAGTCATTAGGAAAGTCTGGCTGATGATCCCTGCTTGTATCTTTTGGTGTGTCTGGACACAAAGGAAACGCAGATGTTTTGATGGGATATCAACTCCAACACACACAATTAAAGCTAGATGTCTCCTTTGGTTATTTAGTTGGCAGTGTTTTAGCCCCTGTAGATTGCCATATTAACTTTTTGGATTTTGTCAGCTCTTTTGCTTTAGCCTAGTATTTCTTTTCTTTTTTGTATCAAAGCTGACTCCTCTACATAGAAGATGCCTTTTTCTATAAAACTCATTACTTCACCAAAAAAAAAAATATTAACCTTGATCTTACTAAAAGAAATTGGACTTTCAGTGTCGACCTTTATGACTTTTGTAATTTTTGTGGTGACTTTAGTCGCAACAAAAAGTCTTACTTCTCTTAGCATATGTATCCAATATCTTTGTCTTTTCTTTTCATTTCTCTGACTCTAATAGCTTCTCTATCTTCATAAGGTAGTGGTAAAGGTCTGCGTACATTTTAGCCTTCCCAGACCCCACATGTGGGACTTCACTAGGTTTGTTGTTGTTCTTATTGTTGTTGTTCTTTGACTCTAATAATTCTTCTTTCTTTTCTTTTTCATGTATATTTTTGAATGAAGAATAGGCCTCGGGATTGGGTGAAATGATGGTGAAGCTTAATATACAATTGCAGACATGTCGCCACAGTTGATAGTTTCAGGGTCCTTTTGCTTGAATTGTACGTAGATCGTTAAGAATTGTTCTAACTCCTACTGCTTCACAAGCTACTTCTGTTGTCGAGCTATATTCTGCTTCTGCTGAAGATAATGCCGTTGTCTTTTGAAGACACTTTTGCACTTTCATCACTGCTAAAATTATTTTTCAATATTTGGCTTTCAGAGATTTCAACTCTAGAGATAATTTAGTTTACCTATTCTGATCGTTGATATAGGCTAATGGCGGATTCATGTAAATTATTGTATTTCTTCTACAGAGTTCTCTTTTTCATATGAATTATTACTGTTCCCTTCGTCCCAATTTATATGGTGGTGTTCAAATTCGAGAGTCAAATAAACTTTTCTTTAACCTTCATATTTTGAGACTTTATTTTTTAGTATGTTTCAGAAAAATGGATCTTCCTATTATTTTTAGTAAATTTATAATTTCACCTTTCATATGTTATCCTTAATGCCACATGACTCTCTTATAGGGATGATATGACACGTTTAATACCACAAAATTCAAAAGATATTTTTGGTATTTACTCGCACTAGTTTAAAACCACAAGAATTTAAAGTCTTTTTTACATTCTTAAGCTTTGAGTCAAACTGAGACAAATAAAACAAAACGAAGTAACATTAAAAACCAGGGACCAAAAGTCCAGTTGCTTCAATGGACCTCTCTTTCTGCATCCTCTCCAGAATATTTGCCTGCAAAATATATTTTATCATGAAAGTTGTCACAAAAAATCTGATAAGAAGCCAATGATGTAACATTTTGTATGACATCTTTAGTAATGTCATATAATTTTCAAACTATAATAAAACATGTAAATACCTTTTAAACAAACTATTTATAATAGTAATTGTACAAATATGAGAAATGATACATAAAAACCATAAAACTGTGAAGAATCCGAGACCAGTAGGGAAAAAAGAATCCAGTTTTGCAGAAATTTCATTACCAAATTTTAACTTATTCTTGCCACTATATAAAAGGACAAATTCAAAAATAGCCAGATTTACAAGTGGTCATTCAAAAATAGCAACAGTTTCAAAAGTAATCAAAATTTAGCCACTTTTCATGAAAAGATAAATCTGAACGAAAACACTGTTCAAAATCCGGAAAATACTCCAGAATAATATGTTGGAATTCCAGTATAATATACTGGAGTTCCAGCATAGGTATATTGTCCATCATAATATACTGGAGTTCCAATATAATATACCGGTCCAGCATAATACGTTGGAAGTTCATACACAGGTGCTCCAATCTCCAGTATATTATGCTGGAACTTTCCGTGTTGCAGCAAAATAGTGGTTATTTTTCAATGACTTTGCAACCGCTAGCTATTTTTGAATGACCAGTCCGAAAACTGGCTAGCCGTGCTATTTTTACCTATATAAACTCAATTTGATTGTGCAAAACCACCATACAATCATGCAAATCTATGGTCCGCTTTTTATAATCGGAAATCGGGAACTTTCAAAATTAATCTCCAATATAATGTTGTGTCAATAATATATGTCAAAATTTTAACTTGAGTATACATTATTCATAACTTTATCGACCGTTAAAACCATTATGTAAAATTTCAACCGTGTCTTCCTTAAACAGCCTAAGCTAGAAAGAAGATAATACTTGATAAAAGGATTTAACTAATTATATCTACTAATAGTGTAATAAAAATTTTACAATTCCAATGAAATTTAACCTACTATAGAAGGTTACCACAACAACAAACCCAGTAGTTTCCCACGAGTGGGGCTACTATAGAAGGTTACATATCTTATTTTTCATGATACTATTTTCCTTATTTTTCATGTTACATGTAATTACTTTTTAAACATTACATAATAGTATAAAAAACTTTTGCATGGTCAGTGAAAAGAAATAGTATACATTAAAACTAAAAGAACACTTACGGCGGAAGTACGCAATTGGTAATTTCGCGTTTGTGATGAGTTCAAACTTGTAAACATCTCCTACTTGGAGACCATTTGCTGCTCTGAATTTTGTCCATCCACTTATAATTCCAAAATGATGTGCATCTCTCCCTAGCCATACTGACCAAGATCTATTTGCTTCATCTTTCAGAATCATCTCACACTTTCTATTTATCAACCCGTTCGAAATTGCAAAATCCACTGGAAGATACTACGGTAACATTTATTCCATTACGAGGAACAAGTTTCAGTTGTCACTCAAAAAAAAAGGGGAAAAGAGGCAAAGAAAAGAATATAACTATTATCAGTTTAAATCACTTACCAAAACTGACTTCTTGATGGAATAAGGTTTAATGGTTGAAATAAAATAAGGAAGATCGTCATCACCAGAAGCTGGAGTAGATACTTGTGCATTGAGAGGAATCATGTCTGAGGGCTTTGTCCTAATGTCTGTTGTTCATTATAAAGAACAAGACAGCAAAAGAAAGAGAAAGGAACAAGGAAGTGTTACAATTAGGATAAAAAGAAAGATCATATTACATAAGGCTTCCAAATAATAAGGAAACGGCTAAAAAAGCAAGCATGATGTAATGGAATAAGTAATGATTTTATATTTTAATTCAACTAGAGGAGCGGTGAAAAGATGACAGATGACACTCCAAAGCAGTAGGAGGTTCAGGCACAAGGCAATATGAATGCTACTTTGAATGTCGCAAATCTCATTTATGCTATTACCCCTATTCCTCCAATTCTTGTGTGCAATTTGGATGTGGATTCTAATGAAGCTTTGGGGGTTTAGTGGCTGTAAGGCTCTAATGGGAAAAGATATTAGCAGTCCTGACGTAAATATAACTCCCAAATTAACCCGCAATGCTACAACTGAGGAAGACAATGTAGCAGTCGAAGGTATTTCTAGTCCAATGCCTGATATAGAACGAAATAGTCAGGATAAGTCTTAGCAACATAAATCAACATTATTATGGTCCATCGCATAACACCAACACTTCTTATAAGGCAGATTGGGAATGTGAATATCATATTGATAACAATAAGGATGAAATAGGAGGCGAGGATACTAAACAAGTGCAACTATGGTTCCATTTCCACCTTTGGATAATAACTTTCCACCATTAGCTTCTGGAATTTCCTTAGCTCTGCCAAGCCTATGTTGCACAATGCATTCATGAAAACCTCTCGACTAACATTAAATGCATCAGTTCCTTCTTTTATTCCTGGTATCAGCAAGACATATCCAAACAATGACGTAGAAAATATTCCGTAAATGATGAAGATGCTTCTGATAAGATGATTATGGCTATTTAGAAAGAAGATTAGAGGACAACGAAAAGAAAAAAGATGTGCAAGGATTTGAATTTGGATTCATTCATGGACAAGCAAAAGGGATCATTCGAATTTGGATCTCGAAGAAAAATGAAGACAATGAACGCTCTTCTTTTCTGGATCTTCAAACATATATTAAAGGCAAAGAATGGTTTATTTCATCCAACATGTAGTTAATCTAGAATATCCAACTAGTGTCTCGTTGTTACATTTTCAGGTAAGGACTTAGACATTTGATGTGAAGAGAATCAAGGGCATGCCTCTTTCTCCAAAGTCTGATCTATAGGGTACTGGCCTAGTCTCCTACTATGATTTTGCATTTTTCTTGTTTTGAGTTTAATGGTAGTGAATGTTGGGCCGCTAAAGTCCAAGATATCCAGAAGATGAGTGTTGCAGGGATGAGAATGCTAAGATGGATGTGCGCTCATACAAGATCATATAGGATTAAAAGTGACCATATTCGTCAGAAGGTGCAAGTAGTAAGCATTGAGGATAAAATACGAGAAGAGGTTGTCGACAAATATAAGTAATTTTATCAAAGATGTAATATAGTGTCATGGTGTATTTGACAAAGTAAAAACATTGCCAGAAACCAAGAGGTTGCTTGAATGAGAGAACTTACCATGAAATTTCCAGATTGGTTTTTCTCCATTAGTAACAATCTCAAACATTATATGATCTCCCACCTTTAAGTCATTTGCAACACGAAAGTCACCCCAGCTACCTCCAATATAGACTCGAGAACAGGAAGTATATAGCCTTAAATTCCATGACCTTTGTCTTTCATCTCTAATAATCAAACCACAATTCTTGTTGGTGAGACCGTTTTCCGCTGCAAATCGAGTAGGAATGCACTGAAATTGTTTGTAAGGATTTGCACACTTATCAAACATTTCATATGTATCATATTTCATTATAACTACCTCCAATTTCAAAGGAGAAAAAAAAAAGGACTCTTGAAGGGTTAGGGGAAATGAGTTTGGAGACTTACAAAGTAATCATTTAACAGGCCATAAGGTTTATAACAGATTTGCACATACCATCAAACTTATCATATGCTTCATATTTTTGCGGTAATTGATTCTAGTTAACAGAGAGGGGAAAAAATGGTACATTTATCTTGAAGAGTTAGGGGGAACTGAATTTTGAGACTTACCAAGTAACCTTTAAGGCAATAGGCTCTAACAATGCATGAAAAATGAGATTGATCACAAGCGTTGTGAGTAGCAGCTTCTGCATTTGGTTTGTCTGTTACATTGTAAATTGTAAGAAAATCCATATTAAAAATTAAATATGCCAAAAAGATTAAAGTATAAGTAATGTCTAATCATCCACCCCATCTTTTGGCTAAAGTTTTATCTAAACAATTTGAAATTTATGTCAAGATTAAAGGAATTAACTTGCATAATAAGAGTATGCTAATGAAATGGCATTGGAGGTATAATTTGTAGGACCCTGGTTTGAGGAAATCAGTGATTAATGCAAAACATGGTGTGAGGAACAACTGGTGCACAAGACATAGCAGATCACCTCATGGTACAGGCCTATGGAAACGCATATCCAGTTTATGGGATGAGTTCCAACTTAACTCAAAACTCAAGTTAGGGAGTGGAACACTCATCAAGTTTTGGAAAGACAAGTGGCTGGAATCAATGGCACTAAAAGATGAATTTCCAAATTTGTACCTACTAGCAGTAGATGAAGAATCCACTGTAGAACAATGTTGGCAGAACAGCTCTTGGGACCCTCAATTCAGGAGACATTTTCAAAATTGGGAGATAAATGACCTAATGGAATTGCTGGCCAAACTTGCACAGATTGCTGTCAAACCCCAGCTGAAGGACAAACTGGAATGGGGGACGGGAAATTTACAGTGAAGAAAGCATATGCACACCTATGCTCCAACAATGATCTGATAAACAATTGGCCATGAAAACTAATTTGGAGAACAAAACTGCCTCCTAAAGTGATTTGTTTCAGTTGGGTTGCCTTAAATGAAGCACGCCTCACTCAAGACAACCTCAGTAGAAGGAGTATACCAACGGTGAATAGGTGCTACATGTGCAATTTGGATTCTGAAAGTGTTAGACATCTCTTTTTGCATTGTCCTTTAGCATGTGATATTTGGAACATGTTCCTCTCTATTTTTGGACTAGCCTGGGTCAAGCCTAACAGCATCAAGGAAGCATATGAATGTTGGCGTTCATGGAGAGTTGGTAAATCCATCAAAAAAAAATTGGGTAATGGTACTTGCTGTTATCTTTTGGTGCATCTGGAATGAAAGGAACTGTAGATATTTTGATGGGATCTCAACTCCGATCCATATAGTCAAAGCAAAATGCTTATTGAATTTGTTTAGTTGGCTAAATCAGGCACCTGTAACTAGTTCTGTTCAATTTTTTTATTGTGTGTGCTCCTTAGTGGTAGAATAGTTTTTTTGTGTATATGAGCAGACACCATCTTTCTTAATTGTAATCTTTCGCCTGCATCCGCTGGATGCTTTTAATGAATTCTCCTTACTTCATCAAAAAAAAAATATTAACTTGCAAATTCATCAAGTATATAAAAATGGACTCTAAACATCTTACCTTTGAATTCAACATTATTGGCTTCTTCTTCGTCCAGATACTCTGCATATTCTCTGTCACAGTGACTCGAATCAAAGATGGTAACCTCAAACTCCATGTTCCCTTCATGTCTGAACACCAACATATTTCCCAATTCCAGACCCTGCTCCTCTACAAATTTCCCCCAACCCTCTTGCAGTCGACGGCCCTTCACCTTCACCAGCCACTTCTTACCATCCTTTCTTAGTATTGCGTATTCATTCTTATATCCCTTCAGATACTTCAAGAAACCTACGGGAATTTTCTGCAGTGCAACATAAACTTGTCCCAAATCATTATGCTGTTTCATTTAGGCCCTAAAACTCTACCATATTTTCTATCTTTTTATTTTATCAGGCAAAAGTTGAATTTTCATTAATCGGGATACAATTGCAGTAAAAAAAAACAAGGGGCTTCTATACTTTCCTTTCACTCCTTATACAATTCAATGAGCTTACAAAATCTAAAAAGCGTAACTGCATTATTTACATTACAATAGTTACACCAAGCAAAAATGTTCAATAAACATCTAGTCTTCAACGCATGAATTGGAGTTGAGACTCCATCAAAACACCTCTGATTCCCTCCTTCCAAATGCTCTACATAACACAAATCGGACCATTTTCCAAGAATTTATGATGGATTTCTCAACTTTCCACATTTCACAGCTAACAAATGCTTCTTCAGAGTTCAAACAGTCGGGAAATACCCATTTTACCACAAAAAAAGCACAAAAACATGTACCAAGCGTTTATCTTTATAGGACCAGGGGCAGATGTACAACATAGCTACGGATTCAGCCGAATCCAATAGCTTTTGCTCAGACCCTTTATATGTATCAAAGAATCTATTAAATATGTACAAATATTAAATTTTGAACCCAATTACTCAAATGGTCAGTGGATTTAGTGGCACCTCGAATCCATAAAGTTAAAATCTTAGATCCCTTCAATTTAGGACCAGGGGCGGATGTAAAACATAGTTACAGATTCAATTGAACACAATAACTTTGGCTCAAACTTTGTATATGTGTTAAGGAATCTATTAAATATGTACAAATATTAAATTTTGAACCCAATAACTCAAACGGTCAGTGGGTTTAGTGGCACCTCGAACCCATGAAGTTTAAATCTTGGATCCCCTCTATACAGGACAATGCAAAAAAAAAGGTCTATATTCTCATTCTCTGTCAAATATAAATAACACCTGTTGCAGAATGCCTGCTATACCGTTGTTTCTTAAATTTTCGTAAGCTAAACATGCCCCCAACACTGTCAACAATACAAAACATGCCACTTTTGTGGGAAATTTTGTCTTCTAAAATAATTTTAAAGGCTAATCATCAATGTTGTGGCTGCTCTAACTAATTAACCATAACATTCCTTCAATGTAAAACTTTCTTTCTCTTTGTCTCCCCAATGTAGGTAGTCCCTTAATCATGGTATCCGAACCAACTTACGCACATCAATATTAATTCTACGGGATAGTGCAAGCATACAGGGTAACTCTATCCACAAAGGCTTGGAAATAAGCTAGTATTTTTGCCTCCATTGGGAATTGAACCTAAGTGTACTCAACCGATTTCATTGACCGCTGCATCATACCCTTGTGTGCTAGTACCACTTAATTCATTAGAGGTCGTTTGGTATATGGGATAAGGATAATAATCCCGGGATAAAGTTTGGTATTAACTTTATTCTATGTTTGGTTTGGGGTATTAGCTAATCCGGGATAACTTTTACGCTAAAATGGCGGAATTAGTTATGTCATATAAAAGGTGGGATAACTAATCTCAGAGTGGGATATTCCACCATTGTACCAAACGACCCCTTGGATATCCCACCACTCAACCTTCCATATCATACATAATACGTAAAGTAGAGGAAAGGAAAGATGAAATAATTACTAAAGGGGTTAACTCACCAGACCCTGCTTGAAACCTGGTTGAATTGGCTTGAAAAAGTGAGGCTTCACTGGAGTGACTTTCATTGCGAGCAGTCAAAAAATGCAGCAACTATAGTAGACAAAGTATCTTTTTTCTACTTTGTGATTGATATAATTGAAAGATTGAAACTTCAATTCAGTTGAGGGATGTAATTATTTTTTGGTAACTGAAACTTGAAAAGGAATGGCAGCTTTTCAGTGGACTGTAACAGAAATTACACAGCTATGTCCTAATGTTCATTTGGAAAAGTGGCAAGGTTTTCATAAATTCACATTTGAGGGTTAACCAGAAGAGAGAGAGAGAGAGAGTAAAAAGCGAGGAGGAGTTTATTTTTTATTTTATTTTTTGGGTGGAAGGAGGGGGCAGTGGGGGAAGGGGACAGTAATTGAAATTGATGATGCACTTAGCTTCTTTTGTCCATTTTTTTATTTTTTTTCTTTTCTATCTTAAATTAGTGTTATGTATCCATGGCCATGTTCTTGTTTTTTCTTTTTCTTTTTTTTAAATTCAACAACGTACTAAGAAAGGGCAAAATGGTTAAATAGTAGTTTTTATAGTAATGATAAATTTAAAAGAGCACGTAAATGAATATTAAAATATATCTGATAAACAAATTCGGAAGAAGTTCAATAATTGTATTTAAAAAACACATGCGTACAATCTTTAATTTGCAGATATCTCGCCAGTGGATGAACCCAATAATATAAAAAAAATTTGACTTTAATCATGAACAGACGTGTACTTAGAAAATGAAAGCATGTCTTTTCATAAAGTGAAGAAATAGTGAAAGAAGTTAAAACGTGACTTGTGATAATACAGAATTTGAATATACTACGGATGTGGAGCATAAGAGACATCTATATCAGCCACATGAAATGGTGGCAAGTACTCTTCAGATATTATCTAGGTAAATAAAAGAAGGATATTTTAATAACTTAATTTTTTAATTATGAGCTCAAACCTGATTGTTACTTTCTTCGTGGATAATGGCTTGGAGAATTTGTTACTGTTAAAATCATATAACTTCTCTCGTACATATTTTTTCTTGATTAATTCATAGCTTAGAATGTCCATGACATTTTCATTGTCAAAATTATTATTTGGGTAAAACGTTGAGATTTATATGGCGACTTTCAGGAACAACGCCTACACTCACTTTTATTCATGCACTTTATATTGATAGCCCAAGAGATAGAAGAATTCAAATGATTATATAGCACCACAAAATATTTCAATAATAAAAGTTAAAGAAAAAAAGATAAGAATAGAAACCCAGTAGCATTTCAATTATATATATGGGAGACATTAAGTTGTAACTAAAGATACATTGTTGTGCACTACAATACTATGCATCTATAACTACAAAATCTTAGCTATGAATTTAAAAATTATAGCTAATACCTAATAATAACCACAAAATTAAAATTCTATGGCTATTTGCAAAATTATAAAATTTCTTTGCCACGAAATTAAGTTGGTAAAGCTAATTCCTCGTATTAGCTATAATTTCTAACAATCATGGCAATAACTACTTATATAGCTACAAATTTAGTGCTACAAATAAAATTTGATAGCTAACCATAAGTTTTTGCCACGCTTCAATAGTACTGTAGCAGTAGTTACCTTTTAGTCACAATAAAATATTTGAAACAAAACATTGTAGCTAAATGAATATTTTTGCTTTAAGTTCTAAAAAGTTGTGGCAATAGTTAAATGATATAGCCACGGATTTATTGCTATAATTGAATTATGTAGCTAATCATTAGTTTTTTGCCACAAGTTGAAACTTACTATAGCTATAGTAACTTTTTAGCAACAATGAAATATTTGAAAGAAAATATTATAGCTAAATGAATATTTTTGCTTCAAGTTATAAAAAGTTGTGGCAGTATAGATAAAGTTAGCCACATATTTCTTGCTTTAATAGAATTTCGTTGTTAATCATTAATTTTTGCCACTAGTTGAAACTTAATATAAATAATAACCTTTTAGTCACAATAAACTATTTAAATAAAAATGTTACTAAATAAATAATTTTTCTTCAAGTTCTAAAAAGTTATGGCAATAGTTATCACGATAAAATGATATAGCCACGAATTCATTGCTACGATAAATTTTGTAACTAATCAGTAATTTTTACCACAAGGTAAATCTTCCGTAACAATAGCAATCTTCTAGCCACATTAAAAATTTGAAACAAAATTTTGTAGTCAAACAATTATTTATCTTCTTATTTTAAGAAAATAAAGATAGTTAGATAATAGTTACAACTATTTGTCATGACAAAATTAATAGACACAAATTTAAAGTGACGATAAATTTACGAGTTAACTATACCTTTAGTCGTACACTTAGGATTGTCATTTTAATAATAATATTTTAACCACAATATGTACAAAATTTCATAAGTGAATAACTTTATTTCAATGACAAAAATAATAGTTCACTACGAAAAAATTGGAATTAGCTACGAACGTCGTCGCTAATATGTCGCTAAAACGCTCGTACCTAGAAGAATTTCATGATAATCTGTTGCTAACTGAGATTAGTGACGGATTTTTCTATTTAGCAATGTTGCTCAAACAATATCAAGTTATGAAATTTTAATTTTAACTATAAAAGTTGTATTTTTCCAAAATAACATAAAATATAGTAATATATATAGATTTAAGTATTAATGAACTTTAAATGTGCAAAAGTTAATTTTAATAGACCATTTGTATGCCTACTTGTAGCCTTTATTTATCAAACTCGTATTTTATTTTATTGCACCTTGTTATTTTTGGATGTTATATATATATATATATATATAAGTATTTGTTTTAAATTGGCCCTCATATATTGAAGCCTTTAAGAGTTTTTAATAAGTCCTTAGAATAATTTCATATATCTAATGATTCATTTTTAAGTAAGTGCTCATATATTGAAGAACTTTGTGATGGTTTTGGTGTATTTAGTTTTGATAAATGACCAAAGCTCCAAATAATATGAATATATTTAGCACTACAAAAAATTTTACGACATTATAATTCATATTAGTATTTATATAATTCTTTTATAACTATTTCAAAGAATTACAAAATTAATTGATACTTAAGTCCACAGGAAAACTAAATATATTATAATTATTATTCAATATAATAGAATTATAGCTAATTAATGTGTGGATGACTAATTTTATAGAATTTAAAAAATTATAATCTTGCATATATATATATATATATGTGTGTGTGTGTGTATGATAATTATTTACTATCCTAATAAGTTTCTAATTGTCATAAATTAAATTATACATTGAATATAATAATTCAGAATTAAATATGATAAAGATACATGAAGAAGATCATGTTTCTCCTGTGACTATTATTTGATACTTTATAATGTTTACATAATTCGATATTATTAAGTTTCACTTCAAAATAATTTAAAAAATTAATATTTTAATATGTTGATATAGGAGTGTATAACAAAACTAATTAGTGGAGTATATTATAATTCATATTAAATAAATTATACTTGTAATTTTCTATACAATTTTAATAAACATGTAATTAATTTTCATTAGATTTGAATAAGCAATATCAAATTTAGACAATATATTTGTATTTATGTACATTGATCTAATTACACTAAAGTTAGATAAATAGAAAAGTTGTATATTTAATGATCTAATACTATTTTAATAACTTAATAACTATCATACTCTAATTAAACACTAAAATAAAGAAGTTAATATAATTGAAACAAGAGTAAATAACAAAACTAACAATATCGTATAGGATGAAAAAAATTGTAAAGAATATAGTATATTATAGAATATCTTTATTTCATGTATTTTACTTAGTGTAAATTATGTATTTAATCCTTTGCATTTTTACTAGATAATTTTCTTACTTACTTATATTTGTTAGTACTTACATTTCTCTCATTTATGATATTTATATTAAATAAGAAATAAAAGGGAGTAAATAATATATTAACAAAAAGAAAAGAAACATAAAGGCCAATTGGCCCAAACCAAAATCCCCAACCTAATAAAAACCCTTCAACCTCACTTTTGTGCGTCATCCCCTTCCCAGCCGCCTCCCCATTTCTTTCATTTTCCCATTGTCTTCTTCAACAACAATTTCTCTCAAACCAACGAAATCATTGGCTAGATAGTCCGGCGCCTTCTCTCTTTCCAGGTATGTTTATGCATTTACATTTTAGAATTTTTCAATCCCATACGCCTACTTGATTTGAAATTTTAGATTTATATTATAATAATTTGATAGATATGGTGCAGTATTGTGATAGGTATTGAGTGGAACCTTCAAGATTATAATTTAATGTTGGGAGGAGCCACAGTTCGTCGAAAAGACATTACAAATATAAATTAGATGAAAATCCTTTCAAAAGTTATAGAAAAGTATTCAGGTTTGTTTTTTTATCTTGTTGCTTTGAATTTTTTCCTCTTGTTATATGCTAAAAATTCTTGTAATAGAAGTATCTAGACATAATTTTTCTCTCTTTGAACTTTCATTTTGTATTTTTACAAATCAAACTTGCATATTTGTATTAATGGTTCCCTCATTCTTTAGTGCTAATTTTTGTTTCTTTTGAATTTGCAGGGTGCATTTTAATCTGTTAAATGCAAGCAGATCAAAGATCAGTCTTGATGCAAAGAGTGAAATTACTTTATCGTTGCTAATCCAGTGGCAACATCTTTAGCTACGACGTAGAATACCTCGATCCATCCGATTTTGAATAAAAATATTTGGCACTTCACCGCTACATAAATTGAGTGCATTCAAATTCAGAAATGAAAGCACATAAAAATGGGAGGAAACTTGTTCATGGCACACCCATATTTATCTTGTTAAAATTCACGGGAATGTATAGGAAAATTGTGTCTTTAGTTTAAAAGTTGGTGGTTAACAATGAAGGGTCACAACTTTTTAGAAAAGGCACAATATTAATTAATATTTCTGTAGATATTTATTTAATTATTGTTAAAAGGGTATATTGGTAATTTAACTTTTTAGTTTGGGGCTTTCCACTTTTAATATATATATATATATATATATACTAGTAGTTTCTAGGCATGTGCATTGCACGTGTACACCTAATCATGTAGCACACGGTTACATAGATTATAAAGAGTTAATTGTTCAATTTACCATGTCGTGACGTCAAATTTTTTAAAGTCGAATACTCCATGCAACCAGCACCTTATGTATATGCCCTTATTATTTCTTCTCTATTCTAAGTAATATAATTTCTTGTACTAAGAACAGTTTGTCTATCGAATTCCTAGAACCGGAGGGAATCAGGAAACAAATAATTTTTAAAAAAACAATAATGCACTCGTGTTAAAATATATATTTTTTCAATAATGCACTAATGTTCGACAAATTTTGTAAGTACAGAGGCCAAAAAGGAATTCCAAGGGATTCTCCAAATTAAAAATGTGAACCAACTCTATTTCAACCAACAATTCCTTGACATCAAATACAATTGCATCTCTCAACTGTTGGGCTATTAACATCAGACAATCAATTATGTTGTTACCCAATATAAGAAACAATGCTGATATTTTGTTAGGAAAAATTCTCTCCGTCTTAAAAGTATAATAAATCCATCTTGACTTCTTGGGGTGAACATAGAAGTACATAAAAGTTTCACTATATATTAATCTTTTAACATGAGCCACGCTAAAACGTAACCTTGACACATCTAGTCCTCGTTGGTTCATATTAATGTTTCATCTCTACAAAAAAATATAATAGCTTAGAATGGTGGAGCACGGATGTGACTTCCTCATTACCATGGTGAATTAAAAAGTTTCACCAAGCGAGTATTCACCTGTTAAAATAAGATTCTAGAGTACTGCAGCAATAGTAAAAGCACTACCAAATTATAGATATATCTACTAAATTGGATCATCACAATATTTTTATATTATGAACCTAACAAAGTACAATAGCATATAATACTTTAAACAGATGAAAAAAGAAGTAAAAACAACACTTGATGAGATATGCTTTGACATATTATTGAATCAATCAGTAATGTATTGAAAAATGAAGTTCACAATAAGAAAATTAGAAGATGGAAAAAAATTAAGGATTAAGTTAGTTATTAAAACAAAATAAGTACCACTGTTTACATGACAATGCACCATTCGTTTGGAAGAAGCTTGTATGTATTTACAAAAGTGAGTAAACTACCATTCATGTAATGTATTTAGGAAATTAAATATAGCATTTACATCATGTTTTATTTTCTTAGTACACCAAAATATAGCAAAAGTAAACTTCTAGACTTAACTAAGGTGATTAAATTTTCTCTTTACTTAATATTTATGAGAAATGGAGGGATCAAAATAACTAAGATATTCTTGCCATTTACCTTTTCAGCTTCTTTCATACTCGATTTTTTTTTATCCCTGATATTGTTTGGCATACTATCATTATGTGTTTATTTAAGAGATAATTTTATCTGCACACGGTTATGTTATAAATTTTCACTTACTTTTTGGTCATGAACGTGACATTGTACACCAATTAGTCAAACACACAAGAAGATTCTCTGCTCCTACCCTCCTAAAAACCTCTAGTTTGTGGGATGTAGAAAATCCACAAAAGTAAGAGGAAAGAAAATTAAAAGGTAGTTTTATATCCATATAAAAGAGATTTTTGCACATTCTTAGAGTACAATATCTTCGAATTTTATCTCAACCCAATTTTGATACATAAATTTATGTCGCTAGCCAATCCGATATAACCAAACCAAACTAATGGCAGCCGCATCAAACTAAAAAAATTCTTTCTATATATCTTTAAAAAAGGGTAAAAGATAGAAGTACGATCATGGCATTAGAAACCAAAATTTTGCTCCCCAAATATTAAAAGACACAAGTAAAGAGAAAATAAACATGCATCAAAAGAATCATAAGTATATTTTTGAGGAATAACACTAAATTCATACTAATAGTATCGCTCATATATTTATTCCTCCCAACAGATTCCTTGATAGATGCTTGGCCGGTAAACAGAAGCTCCTTTAAGGATTAAGTTTGCTTGCTCCAATATTTTTCCTTAGAATCTAATATTTATATGGTAGACATAATAAAATCTAGCAAAAGACGTCTAATTAAATATATGATTAAAACACAAAATTGAATTTGTGGTTACCTGAGCTATAATTACACAATAATTTCTCCGGCAAACGACATATTTTCAGGATGTGAAGCCTCATCTGCTTCTTCCCTGTATTTAGTTTTTGTAATTTTTTTTTTTTTTTGCTTTCACTTCGCTTGTGTTGGAAACCAACAAATTAGAATAAAATCCCACGTCAAGATTCAAGAACAAAGAGAAAAAATATTAAATTTGAAAAAAGAAGCCCTGATTAAAAAAAAAACATTTGGAAAAAACAAACCCAAAAAAAGAGAATCGAAGCGACCCAAAGTTTGGCATCTCTTTGGAACCACTCTTTTTTTTCCCCTCTTTGAAAGCGTCGTTTCATTTATGTGCGGTAGTTTTCTTGTAGTTTTAAAAAAAATCTATTTATAATTAAAAAGAGAGGAAGAAGCATCCTCGTTAAGCCAAATGGCATCGTCATAATAAGCCACTTGGCACTTTAGGACAAATTAGTTATTTTAGGTAAAATTAGTTTCTCTTTTTAAATTTTAAATTTAATAACAATTAAGTAGGTATTCTATATTTTTTTTAAAAAAAGTAGTTTCTATCTTAAAAAAAAAATAGTATCTACAATTTTTTTAAAGAAAAGAATAATTAATTAGGTATTCTATATATAAAAAAAGAGTAGTTTCTACCTTTTGCTAAAAAAATCGCCTCCACATTTTGAAACCTTAAAGAACGGCAATTGGGAACTCTATTTTCGCCTATTTGCCCTAAAAATTTCATCCTTCAAATTCGGCACTTCAATGTCACGATGTCTCACCATGAGTTTAACTCCTTACCCATGAACTCTTCTGCCTTGGATTCCAGTAACATGATTTTAAATTTTTGTCAAATCTTCTATCTATAATTAAAAAAGAAACAAAGAAGCATTCTCATTAATCCAAATGGCATCATCATAATAAGTCACTTGGCACTTTAGGACAAATTATTTATTTTAGGAAAAATTAGTTTCTCTTTTTAAATTTTGAATTTGAAAACAATTAAGTAGGTATTCTATATTTTAAAAAAAAAGTAGTTTCTATATTTTTTAAAAAGAAAACATCATTCCTATGTTACGTATTCTATACTTAAAAAAATTAGTATCTACATTTTTTTAAAGAAACGAACAATTAATTAGGTATTCTATATAAAAAAAAAAAAGAGTACTTTCTACCTTTTCTAAAAGAAATCGCCTCTACATTTTGAAACCTTAAAGAACGACAATTAGGAATGCTATTTTCGCATATTTACCCTAAAACATTCATCCTTCAAATTCGTCACTCCAATGTCACGATGTCTCACCATGATTTTAACTCCTTACCCACAAACTCTTCTACCGGGATTTCAGTACCATGATTTCAAATTTTTGTCAAATCAATTCTAAAATCAGTTACTTTTATAGTACTGATATCTCTTCTTCAAATGGTTGTACAACTTCTCACACCAAATTCAATTTCTAGACAATTTGACACGGAAAAACAGAAGAAACTCACACGAAAAAATTGAATATGCATACGGAAGCAGAAAGGGGCTGAATATTCCTCGTGTAAAAATGGTATAATTAAAAAGAGAGGAAGAAACGTCCTCATTAAGCCAAATGACATCATCATAATAAGCCACTTGGCACTTTATGACAAATTAGTTATTTTAGATAAAATTAGTTTCTCTTTTTAAATTTGGAATTTGAAAACAATTAAGTAGGTATTCTATTTATTTATTTTTAAAAAGTAGTTTCTATATTTTTTAAAAAGAAAACGTCATTCCTATGTTACGTACTATATACTTAAAAAAAATTAGTATATACATTTTCTTATAGAAACGAACAATTAATTAGGTATTCTATATAAAAAAAAGAGTAGTTTCTACCTTTTCTAAAAGAAATCGCCTCTACATTTTGAAACCTTAAAGAACGGCAATTAGGAACGCTATTTTCGCATATTTGCCCTAAAAAATTCATCCTTCAAATTCGTCACTTCAATGTCACGATGTCTCACCATGATTTTAACTCTTTACCCACGAACTCTTCTGTCTGGATTTCAGTAACATGATTTCAAATTTTTGTCAAATCAATTCTAAAATCAGTTACTTTTACAGTACTGATATCTCTTCTTCAAATGGTTGTACAACTTCTCACACCAAATTCAATTTCTAGACAATTTGACACGGAAAAACAAAAGAAACTCACAGGAAAAAATTGAATATGCATACGGAAGCAGAAAGGGGCTGAATATTCCTCGCGTAAGAATGGTATAATTAAAAAGAGAGGAAGAAGCGTCCTCATTAAGCCAAATGACATCATCATAATAAGTCACTTGGCACTTTAGGACAAATTAGTTATTTTAGATAAAATTAGTTTCTCTTTTTAAATTTGGAATTTGAAAACAATTAAGTAGGTATTCTATATTTTAAAAAAAAAAAAGTAGTTTCTATATTTTTTAAAAAGAAAAGTCATTCATATGTTACGTATTATATACTTAAAAAAAGTTAGTATATACATTTTTCTTATAGAAATGAACAATTGATTAGGTATTCTATATAAAAAAAAGTAGTTTCTACCTTTTCTAAAAGAAATCGCCTCTACATTTTGAAACCTTAAAGAACGGCAATTGGGAACGCTATTTTCGTCTATTTGCCCTAAAAATTTCATCCTTCAAATTCGGCACTTCAATGCCACGATGTCTCGCCACGATTTTAACTCCTTACCCACGAACTCTTTTGCCTTGGATTCCAGTAACATGATTTCAAATTTTTGTCAAATATTCTATTTATAATTAATCCAAATGACATCATCATAATAAGTCACTTGAGACTTTAGGACAAATTAATTATTTTAGGTAAAATTAGTTTCTCTTT